GCATGAAGTGTGTCAGCGGGTGTGTGTTTCAAGCCTCTTACCTGCTGCTGACCAGATGGGCTCAACAGCCGACCTCACGCTTACCTCTCCCCGCCATTCCGCTTAGATTAGCTGGTGAGCTGAGCTAAGGCACACAGCCATTATAATGGACACATCAGCCCACCCCCCCCACCCCCTCACCCCTTACAACGCCCGATCCTGCACACACACATACAGATAGACACACATAAAGCACATGTACACAGTCCTCATTCTTCACGTAGGATATTTAGGATGACGATACGCTGTGTGTGTGTGTGTGTGTGTGTGTGTGTGTGTGTGTGTGTGTGTGTGTGTGTGTGTGTGTGTGTGTGTGTGTGTGTGGCTGGCTGGGCAGCACCCGTGGCCTGCTGTTTATAGGGATTATGAAAGCAGATGGACAGCCATGCTGACTGGTGAGGGTTCATTAACTCTGGGAGTCTCTGCTCTGACTCTGCCGCTGCTGTTGCACAGCTTCACTTGTCTCCAATCCTCTCAGCAACAAGCCATGCTGTGTGTGTTTCTGTGTGTGTGTGTGTGTGTGTGTGTGTGTGTGTGTGTGTGTGTGTGTGTGTGTGTGTGTGTGTAGGTACAGCAGGTAGAGAAAGCACCTTGCACGGGCAAAGGAAAGCCACATAGATGTTTATCGATTGGGGATGGATGAGAGCTGAAAATTTGTGCGTGATTGGTTTACATGGAGCCGATGCAGCGGCTGCCACTTTTTGGTTGTTGCGCTCTCTGGTGTCATTATGTTAAACTGCTTCTAGATTAACGTCATTTGTATTGAAGCATTCTTTGTGACATTTTGTGTCAAAGAGGTTTTTTTGTGTGCATCAAAGGAAAGGGGAGAAACATGTTTCATGTAATCTAGTTTCCGGCAAGGAGATGTCTTAAGACTTATGATTTAGCGTGATGCAATATCTCCAGCAGAGGACCATTTCCATGACATTTCACTGCTCTGCCAGGGGAGATGAATAGGTATAGTTATAGTGGGTCATTAAACACTGAGCGGTGTCTCTCTGTCTATAGCTTCAACCTTCACGCTGCAGCCAGCTCCTGCCCTCCTCTTCCACGGCTTAATAAAGGAAACATGGATCACGTAGGGACAGACAGACATACCTGTGGAGAGCCAGACAGACCGACAGACGGACTGGCAGATTCCTGGGCAGATGGGTTGTTTGGAGCCCCCCTCCCGAAGGGCCTTGGTGCCATCAGACAGACAGAGGAGTAGTTTGTCACTAGGGATGGGAAAGGAGAACGGGTTACAGTCCAGAACCAGGAATCGTATCGGAATCTCCCAGCTTATCATTGGCATGTTTTTCTGCTGCTGGAGACTTGCAACAAGGAGTAATCACGGTGAAGACGAAGAGACGGTCCAAAGCGTGGCTTCATTTCATGAAGGAATAAAAAAAAAAAAAGATCATTTCAAGCGAGCCAGCAACATGCTGAAACATCTTTCTACGCAACATTGGCTCAAACTCCAGGAGTGCCGTGTATTTGACACTCTATGTGCCGCTTCCCAAGCTGCACGTCCACAGCATTTCCCATACACAGGCTCTACCCAAGCAGATTAACTCACTCAGTTTCAGTTGAGGTAAATCTTCCATTAGAACGCCTTATTTCACATCATTTTTAGCCACACACCTGTCTGAGTTGTGTGCGCTGCAGTAACTCAGTGAGGAGTAGAGGCTTCTCTGTGTGCAGCCGCCAGCTATAGCCTGCATAACTGAGGGTAAATATCCTACGTTATAATAACAGTAGCTCCATGCTGGCAGGGTTTGCAGAATTTGACTAAGAAAACCTAAATGAAAACAGCAGTGAAACAGTGGAGCGTTGCACACCTGAGTCATACTGTTTACACTGTGTTCAGACTCAGAGATGATAAAACAGTTGCATTGATGCTGAAAACCTGCGCACAGGCCTACTTTTTTCCCCACACAGAAAATTGATCAGGAATCATTAAGGGAATCAATAAAGACTCACACTGATAAGCAGAATTGATAATGGCATTGGGATCAATAAAATCCCATCCCTATCAATCACCCAGGGTCATGCTGGCTTAGCAGGGATGTGACCGGGACTATGAAAACAAAATCTTTAAAAATAGTAAGAATATAGTAACCAATGATTGTTTTCATTATCATTTATGATGCTGATTATTATTATTATAGTTTATTAAATGTCAGATAATAGTGAGAAATGCTCATTAATATTTCCCAGAGCTCTTTAAATTGTTTGTTTCATTCAAAATCAAAGATATTTAATGTATCATGGCAAGAAACAAAGAAAAGCAAAAAACTTCCTCGTCAAATTCGAAACTTTAAAAAAGAAAACAAAAAAAACAACACACAGATAAAACAACAACACAAAAATTACCAACTCAACAGACCCTCAGAAACAAAAGGATATCTTTCTGGTGTTTTGCCCCCAGTGGTCTTGAGAGTAAATAACGCCAGTAACTGAAAAATATTGGAGTTTCGCAGTCAAACAGCAACAGATTGTAACTTCACTGCAGCTCTTGAAGCCGTTGTGATGAGGTAAGGGAGGCTTTGTGTTCGATTTAGGCCAGGAGAGTATGAATGGAAAAAAACACACACACACACACACACACAAAAAACAAAAAAAAACAGAACATTTTTGTGTGCATGTCAATGTCCACCCACGCCTCTGTCAGTACCAGTGTGTGTGCGTGACTTCATATGCGCGTGCGCGGTCTGATGAGTGTGTGTGTGTGCTGAGATGCTGTCGCTCATGGCATCCCTCTTCATGCTCTTGTGAGCGTGAGTTTGTGAGTGACAGTTATACAGTGGCGAGGAGTGTGTAAATCTCCTTCCCTCTAAAGCGCTCAGCAGTGGGCCTTACATTAGCACAACAATTTACACATCTGTCCTGAGGCGAAGAACAGGCAACTCTGAGAATAATGAAATAGAGACTGTGTGTTTGTGTGTGTGTGTGTGTGTGAGAGAGAGAGAGAGAGAGAGAGAGAGATCAGTAGAGGTAGGAGAGACTCTGTAAACAAGAGACAGAGGAGGTTTATTAAAACCCCACCACCACTCACCATCCTTTTGTCCTTCCATTCTCTGTGTCCTTCACCTCCTCTCCCCCTCTTTCAGTCAGAGGAGCGATTACATGCCTCTGTCTCTCTTGTCTTTCATCTCTCTCCGTGAAGAGGAGAGGAATGAAGGTCTTCTGTGGCGTGTAATTACACAGAGACATCCTGGATGAGGGCGTCTGTCTCCACAAACAAAAAAGAGCCCCCCCCTCCTCCTAAATACCTTTTGATAGGGGGTGATCTAAAAAGAGACATTTAAGTGCCTTTGATCCACCACAGGGCCCTTGTCTTTACCTGCCACTTATGGACGCCTAATAAGTACTATCACAAGTCTATTTATTTCATTAGAAGCACTGACACTAACATATGCGTGGCTCGGCTCCAGCACCATGGGAATGATGTACACAGCTCCTCCATTCATTTTAAGCACATAGTCATAATCATGACACATTTACTGGACGCTGTTCCGATCTTGCCCATGAGTCATATTGCTGAATGATTATGGAAGGGCGGATTTTTACGGGCTTACATTGGTATTGGCTCAACCTTTAATTGGCCCAAAGCACATTTGCATTCCAGGAAGGTAATAATGAGGCTCTTTGGAGGCACTCTAAATGAGAAAGTCATTGCACTCTGACTTAACTCAGCTCATAGATGTGATGATGCCTCCAGATGGCTTTTTTACTGAGTGTGATATGGCCATTTCGTGTACATGATCATACACTTACCCAACACTTTGGAAATAGCTAACTTCCTAGCAGGGCCACTGGTCTCTTGTTGCCCATTTTTGCATTATAGAATTTTTTATTGCTTTGTATTTCATACTCGCAACAGAAGAGAAATGCAAATAGAGCAGAAATATAAAAGACTGTCTGTGTTGACGCTGATTGTTGTTTGTCATGAATCTAGTGGTCGAGTGTTGTATGCAATTAAAGATTTTATTTAATTTTTTTGTCCCTCCTTCTTCAGCACCTTTTTTCTGTTTGTATCAAAATGTATGTTTGAGTGTTGAGTGGGAAGCAAGCAGAGGTCATACAGTGTGGTTTGACATTCCGCAGAGGTCGCCGAGGTCAAGCAGCTCTCTGTTCGAGAGATGGAGTCGGACTGAATGTGTTTAACGTGTCTTTTTTACTTGTGTAAATCCGCCCCCATTCACGGAGACTTAACTGTTTCTCTGAACTCGCTGGGAGATGAAGTGAGTGCTCTGGTGCAGCTCAAACAGACTTGGCGTCAGACAATAGACCAGGGTCTTCTATTGCACTTAGCTGAAGCTGCTGAATAGACTCTGAATAGACCTGCAGTGGTGTGGCCATGCAGCTGCTGGACAATAGCCTGCTCAGCAGAAAGGCAGCCGGTGACCTCGAGGTCTGCTCCGGCTCTGTCCACTCTGATCCCTGAACCCTCAGCAGACAGTCAGCACCACAGCAGAGACCCTGCAGTAAACGGAGCAAATCAACCGCAATCACAGTTTGGAGCTGTAAACATATGCAGTACAGCCTCAAGTCATTCGCAATTAAGGAACAGGGTATGCTCTTTTTTTGTGGAGAGTGAGATGAGATCAATACCCCTCTCATATCTGTCGCTACTCTTAATATGCAGCCTTGTTAGCTAAGCTTAGCACAAATACTGGAAGCACAGGGGAAGCAGTTAGCATGGGTTAGTCCAAATATTTAAAAAGGGTTTAAATGTTACTACTTAACACATGATATCTTTCTTGTTTAATCCACACACAAACAGAAAGGCAATAGTGAAAAGTTGTGGTTTGATGGGAAGTTACATACTGGAACTGGAATTTCTTGGCCAGATGCACTGACTTCCTGATGACACTGTGAAGTTGTCAGACATCCAAAAGGTCAAACTATTCTTTTACTTTTGACTCTGACTGCATGTTTTTTTTTTTTTATTTTAAATTCATACATATAAGGGCAGCATGGTGGTGCAGGGGGTAGCACTGTCGCCTCACAGCGAGAAGGTTCTGGGTTCGAACCCCGGGCCTGGGGCCTTTTTGTGTGGAGTTTGAATGTTCTCTCCGGGAACTCCGGCTTCCTCCAACTGTCCAAAAACATGCACATTAGGTTAATTAGTGACTCTAAAAGTGCCCATAGGTGTGAATGTGAGTATGAGTTGTTTGTCTCTATATGTCAGCCCTGTGATGGACTGGGAGCCTGTCCAGGATGTACCCCGTCCTCACCCAATGTGAGCTGGGATTGGCTCCAGTGCCCCCGTGACCCTATAAGGATAAGCGGTATGGATGGATGGATGGATGGATGGATGCACACATAATCAGTGTGACTCTGCTACATGTGCTAATGTCTTGTCCAGTTCTCCTGGCGACACTGAAATCAGTGATGTTGAGGTGCTTATTTTGCATTTGGCAGTGCACTCAGAAAATTTTAAGATGTGAGTTCTTAGTAAAAACATGCAAACTGAAATCACACAAACACTTTTACTGACCCGCTCATCTTTCTTTTTTCAAGCAGACTAGTGACAGATAAGTGTTTCACACACTTAAAACTATGTAGCTGCACCTAAAATGGATAATGGCTTTTAGGTTTTTGTCTAACTGGGTGGGGATTTATTTTAAGATATGTGGATCCCATTTGGAAATGAATTCACTCCGTTTGGCTTCAGGAATCCATCAGACTGAGGGAATCACTCTTTCTGTTTGAGCAGGAATAGGAAGCATTTTATTCTGCTTTAATAATAGCAACTCTTTTAGCCTCAGACATACTCTCATTTCCTAAAATAAACACCATCGCCACTCTTACACTCAAAATCAAACACAACTTCACACAAATTCCACTATCAGGAATAAAAGCATCCACAGACACACAAAGCGACGCAGCGTTTGATCACAAGCGAACTCCCCTCCTCCCCATTTGTGTTTATTCTGGGGATTATTCTGACCTAATCTCTTTAGAGCATAATTCAGATTAGATTTTGTGTTATTATTATTGCTATGTCCATTCCCTACTGTCCTGCTGGGATTTCCTGACTGCCGTAGTGCTCCTGTGTTTGGAAAATTGATTAAAACTGCTGACCACTGCCCTAGATAGCATGGGCTCCAGAAAAAGTGGATAAAAAAAATAAAAGCGAACACAAATGATACACTGCTGCATTTTCTAAAAAAACATGTATTCTCAAACAGAACTGTGGGAGTACATGCTGAGCACAGAGGCAACCAAATGTAGAAATCCCCCCTTTGATTCAATTATCCTGCATCGATCTACAGTGAAGCAGCAGGGATAATCTTATTCATAAATGTTTAACAGTACACTAAAACACAACTTTTGCCTTGACCAACCAGTTACTGGGAGTTTGCTTTGAACTTCAAATAACCATAACGAGAGCAAGAAAAAAACAGCAAGAAAAAAAAAAACAAACCCTAAATCCTCTTCTAATTACCTGAAGCAAACGTCTGTATGTGTGCAGTTAAAGATGGAGCTCCATCTGTATTTGAGCTTCCCAAAAGTCGCTCAACAATTTGATATTCAGACGTCATGTTGCATTTTCAAGATAATGTTGCCATCTGCCTTTTATCTGTCTCTAAGCTCGGGAATCTGAACAAGCGAAGCCTTGAATAAATTACAGTATATTTGCAAAAATCACAGTGAGTGCAGAAAATAAAAATACATTCCCTGTCCTTCATTAGCACTGAAGGTCCAAACTTTTGTCTCTATTTTCTTGCCAAAAATACCTTCGTAAAAATCGTGCAAGAGTAAGAGTTTGCTGCAATAATTGAGCCAAATGACAGTGAATCACTGCATAAAAGTACTCCTTTGTATATGTATGCTTCCTTCTTCCATGATTTTTTTTCAGCTTCATTAGACAAAAATCCATTTAAGTAACTTTTGCACAAAAAAGAAAAAACGGTGAATACATTTCTGCAACAGTAAGTACCAACATTCACCTTTCACAGACACATACACTAGTTCCCTCAGGCCCAGAAATACGCAACCTGCACTTTCGTCTTTCCATTGCTCCCCTTTGCTTACTTGTTTTTCTCAATTAAGATGAATTATAGAATTGCATTGGGGAGCAGGGACAAGGAGCGGTTAGCCCAGAGGCACTCAGTCAATGAGTTGGAGAGAGAGAAACAGAGTGCTGTGGATATTTTGGTCTGTGCGCCTCACACCCCTCAGATTCCTAATGGACCACACGATATGCAGCGTTCGCCAAACATATGAGAGCCCGTGCATGTGCGTAAGCAGGAGAGAGAGAGGGCGGGAGGAAGAGGAGGTGAAGCTCGGGTTTATTGCTCATATGTGGAGATGGAGGAGATGAAGGAAGTGAGGCTGGGGGGGCGCGGGGCTGTGTTTGTGCTGGCTGTTGGGGACTAGCAGAAAGACTGGACTGCAGTGTATATTTCATTAGTCTTTTCTCCTTCAGAGGCCCAGGTGTGTGTCACAGCTCCTTCTGTTGGCAGCCGAGCACCAGATGATTAGATGAGCTGCACCTCAGTAAATGGATACTATTGATCTCCACACCTTGTTATATGGAACACCTCAGAACATGATGAGTCTAAGACAAGACGGCATGATGAATCTCACGCTGTCCAAAATTGCCTCTTCTGCTCAGCTAACTTTCTCTCTTTTTCATCTTCACCCTCCTTAAGTACACAGGTAGCTTCACTTCATCCCGTCCACGTTGCTTCCCCGTGTCTTTCTATCCCTCTTTCCTTCTTTTTTTTAATTTGCCCCACTGATTGCTTTCAGTGTCTCACCAGCCATTAAAATGATTGCAGACTGTGTAATGTATATTAATGTAATGTGCTTGTACTTTTAGAGTAGTTTTGCTGTCCATGCTATAATTTTTCATGGGGAGAAAACACAGTAGGGAGCCCCTGTGTCAGGCAATTAAATTGAGATTGTAACGTGTTGTTTTCCCACATACTATATGTATGCAGAGTAGTCATGCTGGCTGTGGCTCAGAGCGGGGACCAACTAAGGGGAGGCTATCACAGATAGAGATGACAGGTCAAGGGTCACAGAAAGGTGAGGCCAAAGCACAGGCATGTGCATGAAGCCCTGATTTTTGGTTTTTTATCAGTTGTTATGCAGCAGAACCATGACGGTATTATAATATTGAGCAATGAAGCCTGGGATGTAGAATTATCAGAGGGCTGTGACCTCTGACCTACAGATTTGCCGTGAATAAATTGCAGTGTTGCAGTGTTGTATGTTATGAGGGCACCAGTGTGAGCTATAAGAGAAGCCTCAACATGAATCCTGAATGTTATGAACTAGCTGCAGTGTGCTGCCGACTTGATAGTCTCTCATAAATTTCACTTAATGCATATTTACACAGAAGCTGCACGCACACAGCGTCTCATTTCATTTACATCAATCATTTGCTGTTTGCTTTTTGGTGTGTAACTAGCGTGTTAACTATTCAAACAGGCCCAGTCTTATTATTGCGCATATGATGTAACTCACAATACTAACAGAATAGCATTGTATATCTCGCATGGGTTCTGTAATCTCAACTACAAACACCTGAATGTTCTCCAGCCGCACATCCTCAACACTCTCTTGCACACAGCAAAAGCTGGTTCTTTGTTGTTGGGGAAAATAGAAGTTGTGAAGTCAGCCATGCTGAATAGATTGTAAATTGTGGGAAAGATATAAACACCTTTATGTTTGCAGTGTGCCATTGTGCCTCACAAATGACCCAACTGACCGCAGCCATATGAGGGTCAAGCAGTTCTATTCTTAAGCTTTCCAGCACAGTATGACCATTCAAGAGCTGCACTGTTGTTGCTCTATGGACCATCAGTATTAGGGATTTTCTATCCCGAGACATCTGGCGAGAGAAAATAGAAAGTTTAGAATCGGTACTGTCACAGCACCTGCATACTCTATACTGAGGCCTGTAAAACACTTTATCTGTTTAAAACTCCTATAATCAATATTTTTGTATTGATAGAGGATCGGATGACTATTTGTTAAGTCAAAGGGGTCACTCGTGCAGTCTCCTTTAACTCTACAGAGCATAAAAACGTCTTTAAACTTTGTGCTTTGGTTTTCTGGCCCACAACTTCAATTCTCTGGTTCGGTGTCAATGCTTTCACCGGTGTCGTTTTCAGCTGTAGGAGTAAGCTGCTTTCATCAAGTACCCACTGTGTGCTACATGCTCAGCACCAAACGCCAGGAAGATGTTAGCCACTAGCTAGCGAACATAGTGGAACATTTAGCAGCTAAGAGCCATCAGTCTTCCCTCAGGAGTTGGTGGAAACCAAAGAAGAGCTAAAAGGAGAGTTATTATTGGATTATTATTATTATTATTGCAAGAGACATAACTACAAATGAACGCTGCTCTGCTTCCGCTGGATGTGTCAATAAAAAACTGTTTTCTAACTGTTAGCTATATCATCTTAAAAGGTAATAATAGTGGTATGTGAGTCTTGTGTTTACAACTTGTTAGTAGTAGCCAAAGTGGCCAAAAATAATCAGTTTAATCTATTTATGTACACTGCTGTTCACTGTCAGGAAGTGGTTTGTCTATTGTCTCTGTCAGTTTTGAAATGGATAGGAGCATAAGCGCTGGTACTGTAAAGCTCTTTTAGATTTAAGTGTCCACCACATACCACAAATTTAACATTAATGTTATGTGGAGCTGAACAGAGCGTTTGCTAGAGTTCGCTGGAGCTCATGTCTTACCTGTGTTTTCATTTTATTGTATTGTGAGTCTTTGATGCAGCATCTTTGGGTGGCGTCAGTGCTCTGAGCTCAGAATTCCCAAAGCGATTATACAAAATTAATCTATGTGAAGCAGAATAATCCAGACTACTAAAGGGGAGATGGGCCTCTGTAGTGTGTGTGTGTAAGAATGTGTGCGTTTGTGTGGTTTTAAACCCCCTATATATCATCTATAAACATTCCATACATAGACCCATAAATCCCACAGAATAGAATATAATCAGATCATGTAGTCTCCCATATGCTGCGAGTGTGCTCTTGTTAATGCTGTTTGTGTGTGGATCCAGCCTACACACAAATAGTTCCAGTCCCTACCTGTCACACTCTGTTATCCATCATAGCCGTGGATTAAGCAGCTGACTTGCTTCCACCTTGTCAGATTTCAGACAAAGCAGCTTCAATAGTTATATTCTTGATGCGTACCATTTTTTTGTTACTTTCACCCACTTCTTTCTTTCCAGGTCTCTGCGTGCGAGTTCATTTATCTGCTCTCAAAGC